AAAATCCTGCAAATTGAGATTGGATCTCATACACACTCCAGAGAGAAGAGAAGCAATTTCAGCCATCTTCATCTTAGGAGTTCTCCTCCAGCCGCCGCCATTCTTTCTTACAAGATTCGATCTTTGAAGAAGAAAGAAATCAAGAAATTGGTTCTTGACATCAGTTTTGCAGAAAAGACTGAAAAGATTTGGTGCTTAGATTTTCCAGAGGATTCTTGCGAAGGATTCAGTTTGTAGGATGCACTCTGCTGGTTTCGTTCCACATATTGCTGTGTCATCTTCAGCAGGAGCGGATCTTGGTGTTCTCTTTGGGCGTGAACACCAACTTTGGGAGATATTGCTTCTCTGGATCAGGTATAATTCCTCCCTTGTCTTTTGGTTCAGATCTGGTTCGGTTATGGTTCAAGTAGGATCATTGAATATTGTATTTTAAATTTAGGGAATACGATTCCCAGTTGGAAGAAGGTAGGAAAATTTTTGAAATTCGCCCATCCATTCCGCAATCTTTATGGCGTCCATACGATGGATCCTACCATTCTTTCATTTATGTCTATTCATCTTATTTGTATTGGGTTGCCTAACTATGGGCATTCTTGTGTTTTTACACATTACATAAATACAAGTTTGTGGTGTGAACAATAACTCACACCATTCATTCAGAATCTCCTTCTCTTCTCCTTCCTCCTCCTTTCTCTCCCTCATTCTATTTCTTCATTTTACAAGTTGGTATCCAAGAAACACAAGGTCTTGAGAAGGTTCTTGTTGTTGATCTTTGTTTTAGGGGGGCAGGTCTATTGGTGTCAAAGCATCGCTGATTGATGTCAGTAGTTCGTACATGTGGTGGTGGTTGTGCTTGGGTTTGATGTAGGTTGGTGCGCCCTGTTTTTAGGAGTATTTTGGTATACAGCTCATCGCTACTGGAAGATGTTGTGATATTTTCTTGGATTTTTTAGACAAAAATTAGTAGAGAATACAAATTTGATGTTGATGGCTTCTTTGCTCATCTGAAGTTGTTTCTCTCTATGAGATCTAGTGTATTTGGGTCGTCTTACATTTTTAGAGTGACGAGAAGTGACTCCATAATTTTCTGAACCCTTGATAATATTTGGGAGATTTTCTTTTCTCTTTATTTATTTTTTATTCTTTTATTTTTTTTGTTGACAACCTATGTTTTTGGCCTTCTCTACTTCTAATCTGAGCATAAACCTAGTTGTTTTGGGTTTGCTGTGTGCTAGTTAGTATTTGGAGTGCTTTTGGGTTGTCGAGCAAGTATCCTTAAGCTATGGACTTGCCCAAGGATGTGTAGATTCCTTCTAGTGTTTTTCGTGGAAGTGTTGATGTCTCTAGTGGAATGATAACCACTGTAAGACTTGATGGGACTTTCAGGTGATCTCAATTTTCTAAGCTTATCATTGGAGGAAGAGGCAAGCCGGGATTCCACACATAGCTTGTAACTACTTGTTACTTGGCTAGTGTGCTCTATGCATTATCCAAGTGGCTAGTGTGACGACCTGAAGTTTGCTAAGTGGGAGTAAGACAATTGTGATGTCTTGACTATTGTGCTCCATGCAGCCGCATATAGCCTGTAACTACATGTTTCTCTCCATTGCCAAAGACATTTGGGATATGGTTGTCACCTATTCCCAGGCAAAGAATACAACTAGAGTTTATCAGCTCTGAAGGTAGGCTTGCAATGTGCGTAAGGGGGAGATGACTGTGGCTATGTACTTCTCTTATTTGCAGTCACTTTTGTGAAGAAATTGATCATTTGGAGGGCCCTAGAATGGAAGGATCCTGAAGATGGTAGGCAATATTGGAAATATGGTGGAAAGAGTGCTCAAATGGAAAATTCTTTGTTAAATCATGTTATCTAGATCTCAGCATAAAAAGTTAAGATTCAGACCAGTTAGGTGTGTAGGGAAATCTGGTAGCCCCAAGGATTGAAGCTTTTGCGTGGCTGGTGGTAATGGGCAACCTCTTGACTGTGGATCACTTGAAATCAAGAGGTTTTAGTATGGCTAATAGGTGCTGTTTATGCAACGTGCAGGAGGAGAATGTCAGTCATTTGTTTTCCTGTTGCAAGATTGCTGGTTTCTTGTGGAGATTGTTCACTGCTATGTTTGGGGTCTCTGATTTTCATCCAAATTCAGCTGCAGAAGTTTTCTCTTCATTGCCAAAGTTGAGAGGTAGCAAGAAGGTGAAGGTGATTTAAAGTTACATTCCATTTGCAATATATTGGAATATTTGGAAGGGGAGGAATAGAAGAATTTTTGAAGATAAAACTTGTAGCTTGGACAGGATCGTAACTGCTGTCAGCAAATCTATAGCTGATTGGGTTATGGTGCTTCCAGAATTCAGACAAATTGGCAAGGAGAACCTGGGGAAAAAGTTAGGGGAAGTTTTGGGTTTTCAAATTTGTAATTTGGAAAACTTATTTTGATTCTTGGCAATTTCCTTTATTGTTGTAAGTGGGTGATGCCTTGTCACCTAATAGTTTGTATTCTTCTTTTATTTTAATGAAATTTTATTTTACCTATCAAAAAATATTGGAAATATGTTGAGAAGAATAGGGATTTTGATTTCCTGGCTAGGTTAAATGCAAAGTTTGATTTCACTAGGCAATATATAATTAGTGTTGACATTGTGTCCCTTGCAGCTACATACTCCTTGGTTTAGGGAGAGGAGAGTAGAAGAGAAGCTATGGTGTAGACCGTTGTTGTTGAGCCATGGGTTTTCATGTCATCTAAACCTAGGTAGAGTGCAAACAAACATGCTGCGAATGAAAAGACCGATGATCTGGTTTGTGAATATTGTGAAGCCTAAACACACCAAGGACAAGTGTTGGAAGCTGAATCTACATTTAAAACCTGAGAGATTTAAAATAGGGAAGAAGGGTAGTGCTCACTTGGCTACTTTTGGTGGTGATAGTTGATCCCTTGGTAACTTCTCCACACAATTATCCAATGTCATGGACAAACTTAGTAGCCTTTTGATTCATTTGATGTGATGGATAAACTTAGGAGCCTTTTGATTCATTTGGAGAAGAGTGGGTCATCTATTTCTACTTGTTCAATTAATCCTTCTAGTGCCTATGCTAAAATAGGTATGACACTTGTTTGTCATCCTTCTTCTCTTAGATCCTGGTTATTGATTCTGGAGCTAGTGCACACATGATTGGTATGCCTCCTACTTTACCCCATATAAGTTAACTTCAAGGAAAGGTAAGATTACTGTTGCTGATGGATATTCGACTTCAATCTCAAGTCTAGCTTAGCCATAATATTCCCCTAAGCTTTCTACCTCATGTACCTCCATTGCACAAATACCTTTGTTTGTAAGCTCCCTTACAAAATCCCATAATTGTTCTATAACTTTCCTTCCCTCATTGTATTTTTAGGACCTGAGCACGGGGAGGATGATTAGAAGTGGAAATGAAGTTGATGGAGTTTACCTTTTTGGTCATGCTTTTGAGCAAGGTTATTGTGCCAGATTGAGTATTGTCAAAATGAAAAATTGAGTCTTTTGAAATCACGGTATTGCTGTCTTGGACATGTGTCCTCTAGTTCCATAAAACTTTTGTTCCTAGTTTGTGCCAATTTATATTTGGTCTGAGTCTTCCATATGAAGTCTGTCATCTGTTAGAGCAGTATAGAACCACATGTTTTGCTAATAATATAAGAAGTAATGTTTTTTGGAAAAAGGTAACTATTATATTCAAAAGGGCAACTCATTTAATACATATTGATGTTTAGCGCCCATATTTTATTCCTTGCATGGGTGGATACAAGTATTTTATTCTTTTCATCGATGACTACTCTTGATACACTTGGTCACATCTGATGAAAAGTAGGGATAAAGTCCTTTCCATTATTTAGCACTTCTTTGGCATGGTGGAAACACATTTTGAGAAGAAGATCAAAATAATAAGATCAGACAATGCTAAGGAGTACTTTGAAAAGCATTTATGAACTTTTCTCAAGGAGAAAGGAATGATTCATTAAAGCTCTTGTACTGCACAACAGAATGGAGTTGCAAAAAGGAAAAATAAACATGTGGTTGAAATTGCTAAAGGCTTGCTCTTCCAAATGCGTGTTCCAACTTGTTTCTAGGGAGATGTAGTTGAAACAGTTGTGACAATTGGGAAATACTTTTGTATATAAATAATGTATGCAGTTATTGGAAGGTAAAAACATCATCATCATCATCAAAGCCTTATGCTTCATACTGTACATTGTAATCCGTGGTGTTGATCATGGGATGTCAAGCAATGGCATATATAGTAATTATTTTTAGTTTTATTATGGGTAGTTAGTTGAGCAATATGATGGTTATGTGAAAGGGAAAGCATGTGTAGTTGTGTGTAATGTGGGTGAGTATTGAGTGGTAGTGGGATTTGAATCCCAATACATTGCTCCTGAGTCTATTGTATCTATTTAAATGATGATTATGAATGAGATGGGGGGGGGGGTCTGAAGTTTTTGAGAATTTAATTCCACTAGGAATCTTGGAGGCAGGGCTCCCTCAAAGAAACACAAGTTTTGCCTTCTCCTTTTTTAACAAATTACTTTTTGTATCCAATTTCTACAAGAGGAATGATGAGACAAAAATTATCTGTTGGGTACTTGGAATACATGCCTATTTCTTGACTTGTCTCTATGGGTTCTATATCGTAGTTTTCAGAAAATGTGACTTGTTCCTCACATACCTTAGCACTTTAGCAGGACAACCTTTTTTTACTAAAAGGTGAAACATACTGTATATAATGATATCAGCATGCAAAAAGTTGCACACATACAAAAAGAGGAAAAAAAGGATAAACCTTAAACTAAAGTCAGATGCTAATGAACTTAAATAATTTCAATGTCCTTCTAATTTGTTTCCTTTCTGTGAGAAATAATAGTTCAAAATTTTGTTTCTTAGTGATCCTTTTTGTTCCTATTTCTGTTCTATTTCCAACTGATATTTGTGTCTTTCCATGGCATCTTTTTGTTCCTGGCCAGGATCTTGATGAATTCAAGAATATTCTAAAACCACGCTTGAAATTAATTGTTCAAAATGATGAGAAGGAATGGTTTATCGTTTTTGTCTCAAAAGCTTCCCCTAACAATGACCAGGCCACCAAGATGGCTAAAAAGATATATGCCAAACTGGAAGTTGATTTTAGCTCAAAGAAGAGAGAAAGGTAACTCTAACACTATTTCTATTACTGTACTCATTTTTCTTTTCTGGTTTTCTTTGATTAACAAGGATATGGTGTTGAGTTATTTTTTGAGCAATGTTGTCTTAATGTCATAATCCTTTTGTATAAGCATTTTCCACATGTCTTTTCTTAGAACAATGTATTGTTATATTGCATAAAGCTTTTACCCTTTTTTTAATTTTCGTGAAGCAGTGTTAATTTGTTATTGTGTTGGAAGTTGAAGTGCTTCTGAAGTTGTGAATTATATGCGTTTTTCTCTCTTTTTTCATCCCCCTTTCTGGTGTTCTGTACATTTACTCAGATGCTGCAAGTTAGATATACATGGACCTGAAGCAAACTTTTGGGAAGATTTGGAATCCAAGATAGTGGAGTCGATACGGAATACATTGGATAGGCGTGTTCAGTTCTATGAGGATGAGATCCGCAAGCTTAGTGAGCAGCGCTTAATGCCAGTGTGGAATTTCTGTAACTTCTTCATTTTAAAGGTTGTTTCTTAGAATTTCATTCTTACTGCCCTTATATTAAACTTGTAAAAGAGGGGGAGTGTGGCTGCAAGGACATAGATTCCAAATCAGGGGTGAGAACTGGGCCCATGATACTTGTGTGCTTTCTGTTTCCCCTGTGGGAAATCTGGATGGTGCATTTACAGAATTTGGTCTTAAGGGGTCCTTGTCTCTGGAAAGGAGCAAAGTTCCTATTTACATGGATTGGAAGGTGCCAACCTTCAACCCCTGCTCTCCACAAACGAAAACAGAGGACGAAAATATAAATAAAAGAGGAAAATGTCATACTACGATGACATCCATCTAATCCACATTTAGCAGTATTGTCATTTTGATATTTCCGCTGGCAGGTTTTGCTAATTTAATCTTCTGATATCAGGAAAGCTTGGCTTTCATGTTTGAGATGGCTCATCTTCATGAAGATTCATTGCGCGAGTATGATGAACTAGAGCTTTGTTATTTAGAAACAGGTTTGTAATATTTCTTAATATGTCTGTCAATGTCTTAGTGTGTGTGGGTCTCTTGTAGGGAGGTGTTTTTTGTTACTTTCCTTTTAACCTTTTGTAATTTCCTTGCATGCTTTTATAATTTTTTGGTCTCTAGGCAGTAGGCACACATGTAATCTTTTGTCATGCTTAACAACATATATTGATGGCTTGGCCTGTTTTCTTTCCTGTATTGATGGTTTAAAATGTCTGGAAATTTCCTAATATCACGACATATTTCCATTTCCATAGATATTGACACGAAATTTTACCGGAATCGACATATTTCCTAGTGTGCACTACCGGCACTGTGGACTACACGAGATAATATTATAACATAAGTTAGTGACAACATTGCAGATATGTTGAGTAGAAATTTTATTGCCTATCCAATGGACATACTTACCACTTTGAACCAGCTTGATATTCTTTTCAAACATGTAGTTAAATATTAATTTGTGTTTGTGTTATAAATTATTTGGTTGATTTATTAGAACCATTTGCAATTTCTATGAGTTCAGGTTTTGCTTGAATTCATTCTATCATGTAGTTTTGACTCTTAGGCTATGTTTGGTTTGAAGGAAAATGTAGGGAAAGGTAGGGAAACCTTTACAAACCTTGTATTGGTTTCCCTGTCTTTCCCTTCATTTCCCTACCTTTTCCTTCAAACCAACCATAGCCTTAAGGTTCATAGGAACCTGAGTCCTTTGGGTATTGGTGGAGTAATAAGAGATGGTGAAGGAGAGGTACCAGCTCGTGCCTCTCCTTGGGTAGTCTGTATTGTAATATCATATTGCTTTTTTTGAATAAAATATCACTCATTTATCAAAAAAAAAAAGAGATGGTGAAGGAAAGCTTGTGGCTTTATATTTTGGGCCTATAGGGGAGGGAGATTCTCTTAGGGTCTGTGAATGATTTGATTAACACTAGTTCAGTCCTAGGTCTGAGATAAGTAAGAAGGAAAGAAGAAGAAGAAGAGACAGAAGAAAGGGTTCGGTCTGAGTAAAGGAAAAGTCTCACTCTCTCAGCCGACCCACCTTATATTTATACTCTTTGTGTTAGATTGCAAAAGACAAATCTGTCCCTCATTAAGTATGGGGCACACAACTTAAACCCAGACAAAATAGACAACTCAACCTTAATTAAATAGACAAATGACTAAATTACCCTTGTACTGTTGATTCTAACATTCCTCCTTGAGCTGGAGAGTATATATTATATAGTCCTAGCTTGTTACATATGTAGTCCACTCTTCCCCGACTCAACCCTTTTATAAACAAATCTGCCCACTAGTTTCCTGAACTCACATGAGCTGTATTTATCACGCCATTGATCACCTTTTCTCTTACAAAGTGGTAGTCAACTTCAATATGCTTTGTTCTCTCGTGAAAGACTGGATTAGAAGAAATGTGGACTGCAGCTTGGTTTTACAGTCAGTGTTTTAAAAGGAGTGGGAGGCGTATGCTTGGAGGCACGCCTCCAGGCGAGGCGCTCCCAAAATGCCCTGAGGCGTATGCCAGAGGCGCTGATACCTCTGAGGCGTACGCCTCAGGTGCAAGAGGTGTGCTAGAGGCATACGCCTCTTGCGCCTCATGCACACCTGATATGAAAATATAGGAAAAAAAAGAAAAAAGAAAAAAGAAAAAAAGGAAAGGAAAGGAAAGGAAAAGAAATGAAAGGGAAAGAAAAGGAAAGGAAAGAGAAGAAAAAAAGAGAAAAGGAAAGAAAAGAAAAGGAAAGAAAAGAAAAGGAAAGGGAAGGGAAGAAAATATAAGGGGAAAGAAAATGGTGCCCCCTGCACCTTCGGCTGGGGGGCTCGCCCCCTAGACCCCCCGCCCCCTTTTCGACAAGACCCCCCCCTTTGAACTACTATTATGCATCTTTATTCTTCTTAATATAAAAGATTTTTATTAAAAAATAAAGAAAAAAATGAGATCCCCCTTCCTCTTCATCCTCCTACTAACTCCCTCCTCTTAAGAAGGCTTACACCTCCTTGTGTTCAGGAGGCTTACGCATCTTGCGTTCTGAATTACGCCTGATGCCTCTAGGTAGTGGAACGCCTCGCGTCACGCATCCGTGTTTTAAAACATTGATTACAGTACAACCTCAAGGGTCTATCAACTGAGAACCCCATCTCTTGCAAAAGATTTTTCAGCCACACTAGTTCACATGTAGTGTGAGCCATGGCCTTGTATTCGGCTTCAACACTGCTTCTGGCTACCATAGATTGTTTCTTGCTTTTCGAAGTTACTAGATTGCCACTAAGGAAGGTACAATACCCTATAGTGGATCTCCTGTCAAACACAAATCCAGTCCAATCTGCATCTGTGTACCCCTTTATCGCAAGAGTTCCTCCACTCTTGTATAACAGTCCACGACCTGGAGCTCCCTTCAAGTACCTAACAATTCATAGAATTGCCTCCCAATGTGGAACTTGAGGATGTTGCATAAAACAACTCACCATACTCACTATCAATGATATATCTGGCCGAGTAATAGTCAGGTAATTCAATTTACCCACCAACCTCCTGTACCTTTTAGGATAATCAAACTCTTCACCTACATCAATGCTCAACTTGACATTCGGTTCCATGGGTGTTTCAGCTGGTTTGACACCCAGCAACCCTATTTCTTCAAGTAAATCAACGACATACTTTCTTTTGCATAAGTTAATACCATGCCTTGACCTTGCAAGTTGCAACTTCTATTCCCAAGAAATATTTCAGTTTACCCAAATCTTTTGTGCGAAAGTGATCATGTAGAAAGTTCTCCAACTTGTCAATCCCATTGCTGTCACTCCCAGTTATGACAATATCATCCTCATACACCACTAACAAATTCTTCCTAGCTTCTAATTCATAATTGAACACAAAATGGTCTACTTGGCACTGTTTTATGCCAAAGTCCCTCACTACTACACTAAATCTGCCAAACCACGCACGTGGGAATTGTTTCCACCCATAAGTCACCTTCTTAAGTCTGCAAACTTTACCATCCTTGCCCTGAGCAACAAACCCTGGTGGTTGTTCCATATATATCTCCTCAACAAGATCACCATGTAAGAAGGCATTTTTGATGTCAAGTTGAAAGAGGGGCCAATCATACATAGCTGCTAAAGAAATCAATACCCAAACTGAACTAATTTTAGTCACAGGAGAAAATGTTTCCATATAATCAATACCATATAACTGAGAATAGCCTTTGTCCATTAACCTGGTTTTCAACCGTTCCACACTGCCATCTGGAAGATATTTTACTATGTATACCACTTACATCCAACAACACGCTTACCAGGAGGGAGAGGGGTAAGCTCCCACGTGTGATTGCGTGCCAATGTAGACAATTCCTCTTCCAGTGTAGGTTAATACTGAAAGGCATGAAACTTTTGGAAAATAAAGAACACCAAATTGGGTATGAATTTCAGCATTAAATTTTTGGAAAATAGAGAACAATTCACTTCTGTCTTTCATAAGATAAAGCCATGCCATCATTGGATAATCATCAACAAAAATTACAAAGTACTTGTAGCCATTATACAACACTACTTTATTTGGACCCCAAACATTTGAATGAACTAAAGAAAAGGGACTCAAAATACAACTATCAACTCTAGGACTAAAAGAGACTTTATGGTGTTTCCCAAGATGACACGACTCACAATCTAATGATGGAAGATGACTTAAAGACGGAACTAGTAACTTTAGGGCCTTGAGCGACGGATGACCTACTCTGCAGTGCCAATGGGGAGGAGTAAGAGAGGACTAAATTTTCTCATTGTTGCTGCTGAATTTTAACATTCGGAGTCAAAGGGTGATACACATTATGCTCATTATGGAGGTTTCTCATGCTTGCATAGTACTCTTCTAAACTTTGATCTCCCTGCTTCAGGTTAGAGTACTCCTGATAAAGTTGGTACACTCTAGTAATGTTATCTTGGCTCGAACAAGGTTTCTTAGCATGGTCAGATCTCCTTAGCTGTATCTAAGAACATAAAATTCACACTAATTTTAGGATCCATGCTCTTCCGCAACCAGGTCATAATCTGTGCATTCTCCTGTTCCCACTCACTAAACCTTGGTGAGTCACAAGAGGGTTTCTCCTCCCTCGCATGTTTCACCCTATTCTTGGCTCTCAAGAACACTTCCACTGATTTAGCACATAGTTCTCACCATTTAATTTGATAGAGGTCATTTGAACATTCAGGTAATCGGTGGAAATCATAACACCAGTCTTATTATCATTACCTTCTCTAGTTGATGCTATTATAACAAAATCACTACACACCAAAAAAAATCCAGCTACAATAGACAAAAGTTACCCTTCACTATTGAGCACTATACCACACATCACACAATAAACCACTGTTATGACATTGCTGCTGTCATAGGTTCAGCACCAGACAACCCTACTGTTACCACACGTACTCAGACATAAACAGAGAGAAAAACAGTCCATATGCATACCTATCAATCAACACTGCCATATGGATGAAATCCAATCCAAAAGAGAGAACAAATTACACTATCAGCTGATTAGAGAGTTTTGTTCACACCTGTCCACAACCAGCCCGCTTCGAGTCATCGATTAGAGGGTTTCTAGCAAAACCACCACAGCAACTGGAGGCATAGTTACCTCCAAGAAGGAAAAATGACCACTCCTTTTTAGTCCCTTATCGATCCTCCGATTTGTTTAGGAGTTATTTCAAAAGAAGTTCTGATATGGTGACCTAGGAAGGAAGAAGAGAAAAAAAAACTGAGTTCTAGACTGATTTTTTAGAGCTCTAATACCATGTGAATGGTTCGATTAACACTAGTTCAGCCTAGGTCTGAGATAAGTAAGAAGGAAAGAAGAAGAAGAAGAGAAAGAAGAGAGGAGAAGAAGAAAGGGTTCGGTCTGAGGAGAGGAAAAGTCTCACTCTTTTAGCCGACCCACCTTATATTTATACCCAGACAAAATAGACAACTCAACTACCCTTAAACCTAGAC